GAGTTAAATGAATATGTACAACTTAAAATAAAATAACTTAAAACTAAAATAATTACACCTTTAAAAAAATATCGGAAAGGGCATCCTTTCCTCCCCAGGGCCAAAAGACTGTCAGTATCGCCTTTTTAATTGTTTAAGATTTTAAAAAATGTGTCCGATTCCTAAATGTCACTTAATATTACAATTTCAATTACCTATACTTTTATCTTGTATTGCATTATGCATTTGATAATTGATTTTATTTTAGGTACTTATATTTCTTCTCTTTTTACGAATGACATGTCAAGGTGTGCTCCCTCCAAAACTTATATTGTTATGCCCGACACAATGTGGACCCCACATTGTGTCCTATTTATGTGTACCACATAAGTAAAACACGTGGAAAGCAATAAAGTATTGAGTACTAGCGACCCGCCCCGGCTTCGCACGGGTGCAATATGCATGTATTATACATACAAACCTTCCTTAAGAATCACTCTATCTATTAAAAAAAACCGCATCAAAATCCGTTGCGTAGTTTTAAAGATCTAAGCATACATCCGGACATACAGCGAAAGCGACTTTGCCATTTTTATAAGTGATACTTTTTTATTTTTAATATAGGTAGGTACTTTCATAGGGGCTTCTCTTGGCAGCATAAGATTGTACATAATAATTATGATTTCTTAAAAATGTATTTCCTACATAACATCACACCTTTTATCCCCGAGGGAGTACGCAGAGGTGCACATTACGGCACTTAATGCCACTGTACAATGTAACACCCACTTTTCACTATTTATGTTAGGTATGTATCCCATGTAATAGGGGGTGAACTCCTATGTAATTAATGGGTAATATTTCCTACCATTTATCTGTATAATGTGTATGTAATGGATTTTTTAAGGGGGAAAAATCATCGAATGACATCTCCCACCAGGGTCAGGCGGGAGGGAGTGACAGATAATTAAAGTTTAAAAACCACCCCGTTCCTACTCCTGCACTTCGAGGGTTGGAGTGTAGCAAAGGGTGTGCAAGGAGTTCAGTACCTACTTTTACGTTTAATTTTCACTTTTTTTAGGTATAATAAACAATAGAAATGAAAAACTAGCAATTTATAAGAATTTTCATTTTTATGAAATTTTTCTACGTCCCAAATCTCTTGCACACCTCTTACTACACCTCTGGCCATGACCGCTAGCAGAATGCTTCGTAAAAGGAGGAGACGGCATCCTAGTCCTCCTCGCTCTAGTAAGTTTTGGATGCAACAAATACTTGAATACTTGAAGACTTTTTTTCTCTTCTTTGGCAACAGAGTCTCCTTGAAGACTTACAATCAGTATATAAACTTACCGTCGAAAGTACTAAAAGGCCATCTAAAGCGAAATAAATTAAGGTAGGTAGACAGTATAAAAAAATATCGGTCAAGTAAAAAATTTAGTAAAGTGAGATCATTTTATGATAAACACGTACTTTTTCTTTTCTGATTATAGAACCGAAAACTTATTGATATTGATTTAAACTATTTCATGGAATGAACCATCGCGTTCTAATACCATATCGACTGGTGATTTGGTCGTTCCAAATAGGGTAGTTTACCAAATTTTATTTTAATGTCCGTCTGGTAGATTAATTTAACAACATGTATTTTTTCTTTTCTCACAAAATTCAATACTACCGACGATATATAATAATTTGAAATAATGTGTGACGTCATAAAACTACATTTTTGTAGCACATGTAATGTAACTCCTAAACTTAACGGCATTTTAATCTAAGTATTATAACTTTATACCAGTAAATAAAACAAAAAAAATCCGTGTCTAATATTTTTTCATTATCTAATTTCCGGCTTATTATATTTTTAATTTTCACACAGTGTATACTTACTACCCTATTAAATGTGGTCAGTTTGGCTTTTAACAGATTTCAATTCAAATGAAATAATTGACTCCATTATGCATAAATGATTATAATATAGTTACCTTTAGTATCATAATCATAACCGTTTGTATCTACCTATTTATTTTATCGTCTCGAATAAAAATATTTTTTTACTTTGTAACCCTACAATCACACTAGCAACACTACACAATACCTGTCAATGATCTTATAAATCATTGCATCTCTTTCACACTTACGCACTTATATATTTCGGTCCTACTTTTCTAGTTTTCAAACTTTGAACAACGCCGGGTATAAGAATGATCAACTGATCAAGGTTTCTTCGCAGATCGAATGTTTCATTTCGCAAGTAACGTTCGGAGTGGTTAATCGTACACTTACTACCAATAACTCAGTTTGCTGAAATTACCCTCAAAAATAATCCTCAGTTTTATTTTATTCAAGTCTCCGTCGCACACAGCAGGTATGCAGATTTCAATATTGTATAATTAATTTGAATTACCAACTTCATGTCTCGAAAAGGCCGGCAACGAATTTGTGACTTGTGACTCCTCTGATGTAGCGGATATCCGTTCATGAGCGGCACTGGCTGCTTACCATCAGGTGATTCGTCTGCTCGTTTGCTGCGTTATTCCACAAAAACTTTAGATTGCAAAATTACAGTAAGAATAATTTTTATCGTTTTCTTTTTGTAGGTATACCATCAAAATGTCTCGAGATAAGTTTTTAATTACAACTGCGTGCGAGGATATGAGTTTTGGTGTCCAAGGAGCATTTCTGTGGCCGTATAAAACTTGAGGTAAGTTCCGTTGTTATATTTTAATCTTTAAAAAGTATAAAATTGTTCTATTCACTTTTTTTACATATGTAGGGTAGACGAGCACTTATTTGACCACATTTTTATTTTTCTTTATGGAAATACATTGAATTTAGTTTTGTTCGTATTATCTATTAGGTACTTAATTCTTCTAAACAGATAATTGGAGTGTGTTTGTAACAATAAAATAACCGCTTTTTACCGACTTCAAAAACTGGAGGAGGTACTATGTTCGGTTGATTGATTTTTTTACTACATGCATATGAATACATACGATAGACATACCAAAATATGTTTTACAATTTTGTTTGTCTGTCTGTCTGCCTATTTGAACTGGCTAATCTCTAAAATGCCTGGACTGATTTTGACGGTACTTTTATTGGCTGGTAGCTAATGTACTAAATTGTAACATAGGCTACTTCTATATTAGAAAATTAAAATAAAATTGAAAAGTTATGTCCTAATATTCAAATTCTACGAGGAAGAAGTCGTGGGTAACAGTTGGTAATAAATAGGATTATAGATGATACTTTGTGACAAACATTCAAGAAAATAGCGTATTCCTTTTAACTCGTCGAGTACCGTCATTATAGACACAATTATAGAACAATAGGTTGCGGTCACCGGTGACCGCTTGGTGTTTGACAGTTTAACTCGTCGAGTACCGTCATTATAGACACAATTATAGAGAAATAGGTTGCGGTCACCGGTGACCGCTTGGTGTATGACAGTTTAAAACAGGAATCATATTCTACGCGGACGACGTCGCGGGCAACACGTAGTAATCCATAATTTAATTATGGATAAAGGAGACAAACGAGCAGATTAATTACCTGATGGTAAGGGATCATTGCCGCCCATGGGTACCCGCAACACCAGAGGAGTCATAGGTGCATTTCCAGCCTTTAACTCTCTCAGTACCGTCATTATAGACACAAAGAACAATAGGTTGCGATGACCAGTGTCCTCGCGGTGTTTGACAGTTTAACCCATGGGGTAAATAATCGGGATAAGTATCCTATCACCTAAATCAGCCCATATCCTGCTTGTATACCAAATTTCATCAAAATCCGTTCAGTCAGTAGTTTCAGTGTAATTGATAAACAAACATTCAAACAAAGAAAGTTTCACATTTATAATAGTGTGATGATGAAACATAAAGGATCGGAAGAAAATATTCAGTAATTATTCATCTACCTCCAATTAAAAAAAAAATGTTCTTAATGCATAAATCTCTATAATCTTCAACTAAAGATCGTGAATTTAAATCGAAACGCGATTGCTGTGTTTATTAATTTTAATGGTCAAAATAAAATTGTGCGCCTCTGATTTTATTCCGGAGTCTGGCAAAGTATTATTCGCTTTTTACGGTTTATTAAAAATGTGTGAAGTCGATATAATTGTTGTAACCATTCGAAAAATAGGTGCCGCATAGTTATTTTGCATTAACTCGTCGAGTACTGTCATTATAGACACAATTATAGATTAATAGGTTGCGGTCACCTGTGACCGCTTGGTGTTTGACAGTTTAAAATCGACTGTCTTGTGAATTAAACAAGCATATTATGTTTTTTATTGTTCATGTATGGATGGGACAACCAATCACCGTATTTATTCTGCTCCAAATTGAAGCTCAAATAGCTTTAGTACTTTGATAAAACTGTTTACAATTTACCCACATCTGGTAAGATTTATCGCGCGAAATTTTTTACTTTGAAGTTACATTAAAATACCCACGTTGTTGAAAAAATAAGAGCTTGGACAGTGAAGTGTTTTAATTAAGTTATCAGAATTATATATTCCAGGCAGAATACTAAGTAAAAATATTCTGAATAAAAGATTGAAGCTTAATTATTAAGAACGAAAATGTTACATATTTTGTATGATTTTGTATTTAATGGCTTCTGACAGGTATTTTATAATTTGGCAACACAGGTCTTGGCATGGCAGCACTGGCCGTGGCCGCGTTTCATATCACCAGTGACAAAAAAGGAGATGATAAGCATTTTGTATTAATTTATCTCTTTCTCACTTGCACGGTTGATATATCTCTGTCCTGCTTTCACTTTTGGTGTTTAGGCAAAAATTTGACAGAGACAGATGACAGATGTTATGCATTCTCTATTCCATTTTCAAAGTAAAAAGTAATTTGAGCGCGGCAAACTGTGCATTAAAATTTTAATTAAATATTTTACGATTTTCGTAAATATAAATTCAAGTTTTTAATACGGATCAGTGCCTTCCTGTTTAACAATAATATTGTGAATTAAATGCACTGAACATTGGAAAATTGGTGGTAATTTTGTCGTAAAAACATAATTTTTGTCACAAATTTTTCGTGTACCCCCAATATGTCGCGAGTAAAGTTGAATTTAATCGCTGCTGCTTGTGAAAACATGGGTATTGGTGTTAATGGTGCTCTGCCATGGCGGTTGAAGTAAGTTTTTTCGCATATTATCCTGTATTATACACATAGTAACTTAATTTACTTTTTAGTACCTAAGTTAGGTTAACTCGTCGAGTACCGTCATTATAGACACAATTAAAGAACAATAGGTTGCGGTCACCGGTGTCCTCGCGGTGTTTGTCCGTTTAAGTAGTGTTTGTTGCGATATGAACTACGAATCACACGCTGCTGCAGATTATTTAAACTGTCAAACACCGCGAGGACACCGGTGACCGCAACCTATTGTTCTATAATTGTGTCTATAATGACGGTACTCCACGAGTTTAATGGTGGTTATAGTGCAAACAATTAATTTTAATAGGATAATATAAGTTTTTATCATTTTTATATAATAAGACCCATGTAATATAAAATATATGGTAGGCCTATCGTCATAACATTGAGAACAATGCTATTGGCTATCCACAATAGAAAATAGAGAATGAAATGCTATTTACTAAAAGTGTTACTTATGTTCATTAACTCGTTGAGTACCGGTTTTGTAGACACAATTATAGAACAATAGGTTGCGGTCACCGGTGACCGCTTGGTGTTTGACAGTTTAACAGATTGACATACTATTCTATTTTTCTAGATTTTATAATTAGGTATATGTGGGTAGTTAAATGCAAGCTGTATAGACTTAGGTCCAAATATACTGTCTAAAGATGGACTCGATTCTAGTTATAAAATATAGGAACTAAGAAATTATTGTTGATTAAACATTTATTTTTAAATTATCATCTTATTATCATATACTTTTTATTTTTATCATTGTAAAGCTGAGTTTGTTTCAAGTCTCTTATCTCTGGAACTACTGGTCTGGATTGTATAATTGTTTTTGTATTGGATAGACTATTTACCGAGCAAGATTAAGGCGTAAACATCATGCTATGATCAATAGCAGCTGAGCAGAGTAGTTAGTATAATAATGCTGAATAATAGGGTAGTTTATATTAAAAATAGACAAAAAGTTTAAGTTAAAAAACAGTTTCCTAAATATTAATTCAATATCCGTATGGTAGATCAATTTAAAACATTTGACACAAACTTTTTTCCCCTTTTACACAAAATTAAGTAGGTACTTTTGACGATATATTAATTTGAATTATCATGTGACGTACCAACATGCTATATTTTGTAGTACTTTGTGACAAGACGACCTTCCAATCCTAAACTTAACTCCATTTTATCTTAGTATTATCTATACTAATATTATAAAGCTGAAGTACTTTGGCAAAGCGAGTGAAACAGCGCGGAAGTAGGTAGTAACTTTATACGAGAAAAAAAAATGTGACTTAAATTTTTTCATTAACTAATGGATGTATCAATTAGGTGTTCAATTTTCATACCCTGGCAACTGCCCTATTACATGTACCTTTGCTACAACGATAAATTTTTAGTAGTAGATACTATTATTACCTGCATACTTTGCTGAATATCTTTTCCACAAAGTACATCACAATAAAATTATTCTACCCTCAAAGTACCAAAGTACTTTACAACATTTTTTTTTTGTGGGATGAACCGATAAACGACCTTACGGATCACCTGATGGTAAGCAACCTTCGCCGGTCATGGTCATCTGGAACACCAGAGGCGTTACAAGTGGAATACTAGCCTTTTGGGGATTGTTGGGTATTAAGGGATTGAGAGATTGGGGAAGGCGAGGGTAATTGGGCCTCCGGTAACCTTCAAACTAACACTTCAAAACACAATGCAAGCGTTGTTTCACGTCGGTTTTCTGTGAGGCCGTGGTATCACTCCGGTCAAACTAGCCCATTCGTGCTGAAGCATGGCTCGCTCACACTTAAACTTTTAAAGTAATTTAATCAAAGCTCTACATTCTTTAATGGTAATCATTACATCATCACGCCATTTATCCGCGAAGGGGTAGCCAGAGGTGCACATTACGGCACTTAATGCCACTGTACATAGCCTTTATTATTTTTTTGAGGGTGGAAAATCATCCCGTATCTTTTCCCGCCTTGGGTTAGGCAACAGTGTCGGACTTTTACTAACTAAAAAGTAACCCATTTCTACTCCTGTTCTTCGAGGCGGTGTCCCGGCAACCCGTTAGGCCTTCCGCGGCTCCGTATGGAGCATCAGTCCTACTGGGCCCCATCTGTGGTGGTCTGATGGCTCCTTGAAGCGCGCGGAACGCGACGCGCCGTACGCACGGGTCTGGTTCTGGTCGGGCGGCGAGCTACCCTTGCTCTCTGTCCGCAGACCTGGGCTTACGGTGGCCGGAGATCGTCATGCGATCCCCGAGGCCCGGAGTGTCTTCCGCGACGGCTGGTACAATATACGTGTGTAGGTTGGCACTGTAATGGCTGTACTGTTATGTTGTTAGTCGTAACATTACCGACTTAACGGTTGACGCAGTGGCTGGCCAACTGGTTGCCGTGCAATGTGCAGCGGGTTCAATTATCGCACGAAGCACATCTTTGTGTAATCCAGAAATCGTTGTTACCATGTGTATGTGAACTTGTATGTGTGTAAATGCCCGGGATAACTCCAAATGTGGAACAAAGTATATAAAAAAAAATCTGAAATTAAAATTAAAAAAAGAATCATTATATTAAAATTAACATTAAATGTTTATCTTTACAGAAAAGAGATGGCGTACTTCACAACAATGACGACGAAGGTCAAGGATCCCAGCAAGTTGAATGCTGTGATCATGGGACGTCGGACTTGGGACTGTATCCCAGACAAGTACCGGCCCCTGTCGGACCGAGTCAACATCGTGCTCACTCATAATGTCGATGCTGTTAAGGAAAAGGTTTGTACTATCCATACTATTAACCAGGCGAGATGTAAAATATAAAAAGTAAAATAATTATAATTTATCAACCACTCGTCGCCTCACAAAATCTTGAACATTCACGACATACATGCTTCCATCACGCTGCGAACAGATCACACTCTTGTGCGGATGACAAGAGAGCACCTAAGGAAACACCTAAGGAAACCTGGGCTTATAAATATAAATATAAGTTTGAGCATCTCTGCCTACTCCTTCGAGGATAAGAGGCGTGATGATATGTTAAACTGTCAAACACTGCGAGGACACCGGTGACCGCAACCTACTGTTCTTTGTGTCTTTAATGACGGTACTGAGAGTTAAGTTTAAAATCTCCAACCTGTATTGAGGAAGCGTAGTGAAATAGAGATGATGACAGGGTATGACAATTAAATATCTAATTAGTCCGTCAGTTAGGTAATGAAAAAATATTAGACACGTATTTTTTTATTTTGTCGTATAAGAAAACAATACTTGGATAAAACGAATCAAAGTTTATGAGTAGGGAGGTAGCGACGTCATTTTAGAGTATAAATCGTACTCAAAAGTGACGTCATGCGATATTTCAAATCAATATATCTTCGAAATTATTCTTTTCCGTAAGAAAATAAAGCATACGTGTCTAATGTTTTTAAATAATCTACCAGACGGACATTAAAATAAAAATTAGTCATCTAATTACCCAAGCGGTTAACGGTGACCGAGCTCCACTTACTCCATTATAGACCTTATTTCCGATGATTAAAGACTACTTTTTGAACAAATGTTCTCGGTTTTCCGTAATCGTGGATTAAGAAGTCAATGCTCAAATCTAACTACCTACATCTTACATTATTAAACACTAACTTCTGCCAGCGGATTCGTGTGCGTTCCCGTGGGACAAAAAGTAGCCTACGTGTTATTCCAGACCGTAATCTATCTCTATTCTAAATTTCATCCCGATCCCTTCAGCCGTTTAGACGTGAGGAAGTAACAAACAAACAAACAGACATACGTACAAACCTTCACATTTATATTATAAGTAGGATTAGTAGGACTGGTTCATGAATTTTTTTTTTATGAGTAAGGCGGTAAACGAGCAGACGGATCATCTGATGGTAAGCAATCGGTGTCGCCCATGGGCATTTGGAACACCAGAGGCGTTACAAGTGCGTTACCGGTCTTTTGAGGATTAGGAGTTTGAGGATCGTTGGGGATTCAGGAATTGGGGAGATTGGGGAAGGGGAGGGTAATTGGGCCTCCGGTAACCTCACTTATACGACGAAACACAACGCAAGCATTGCTTCACGTCAGTTTTCTGCTCGGCCGTGGTATCACTCCGGTTGAGCCGGACCGTTCATGCCTAAGTATGGATCTTCCACACTTGAATCTAATGATATAGTCCTTATTTCTTCTTTTTTTATTATATTTGATGGGCCGACGTTTGACCACTATCTCGCCTAGTGGTCAGCAATGATGTAGTCTATCTACGATGGATCCCATCGTCCCATCAGCAACCCATTCACTCGGGCCTTTAACACACCCAGGTGTTTCCCTTCAGGAAATATAGACTCTGGCAAAGAATTCCACTCCTTAGCAGTACGCACAAGGAAGCTTTATGCGAAGCCCTTTGTGCGAGTGGGTGGGACATCTACCATGAATCGGTGACGCTTCGCCGATTGTCTAGTGGTACGATGATGGAAAGGACTAGGGGGAATCAAGTCGTGCAAAAATTGATATTTCTAAAACACAATAATTGTTAAGTATTTCGTTAATTTTATCATTCTAATGATGACCTTAACTCGTAACCTTATGTTCAAATAAATTGATAAAACACCTCTTTATCAATAGATACTGGGAGCAAAGAGACTGGAACCACTAGAATTATTTTTTTCATCTATACATACAATAAAACTGTAGAAGTGTAAATTCAGACTGCCTCATTGGCCGAGTGGTCGCAAGTGCGACTGCTGGGCAAGGGGTCTCGGGTTCGATTCCCGGGTTAGGCAAACTATTACTGGATTAAAAAAAAAATCAGTAGCAGCACGAAGTCTGGAATTGTGCCCGGTATATGACAATAGGCTCACCCCTATTACATGGGACTCGTAACATAAATAGTGAAAAGTGGGTGTTACATTAAGTGCCGCAATGTGCACCTCTGCCTATCCCTTCGGGGATAAAAGGCGTGATGCTATGTTATGTTTAGTGTAAATTCTGTACATTTAAAATATTAAAAAAAAAATAATAGCTTCTACTATTAATTTTTTTACGCATGTTTATAGATGGACACCGAAACCAAAATATAATTAAAAATTTCGACTGTCTGTCTGTCTGTATGTTCACGCATCACGCAAAATCTACTGGTCCGATTCCGATCAAATTTAGTCGGATTGTACTTTAACTCGTCGAGTACCGGTTTTGTAGACACAATTATAGAACAATAGGTTGCGGTCACCGGTGACCGCTTGGTGTTTGACAGTTTAATATCTTGCGAACAACACTGTGTACAGTACATTTTACCCCGAAAAAGTATATAGGTACACGAAAAACAAACTTAATTATGCGGCTCATACCCTAGACATAGTTACTGTACCAAACGCAGATATAAGTTTGTCGAATGTTAGGTTGTCCGCAGTCGCAGTGGGCTTTACGCTGTAATTGTAGGACCGATGGTTGAAATTTGCTTGAACCGATATTATAAATATGACAATATGTGTGTTTGTGTATACGTTTGTTACTCAGTCATATCAAATCGAATTTGGAACAGAGATTTAGAGATTATGGTCTGGGGTAACATTTTTTTTAAGGGCGGAAAATCATCGAATGACTGCTCCCGCCTTAGTGTCAGACTCTTACTGACTAAAAACCACCCCGTTCCTTCTCATGCACGTTGAGCTGGAGCACCGGTTACCGGGTAACATATAGGCTGCCTTTGAGTGCACGGTCGGTGCGGTGGCTGGGCAACCGGCTGCCGTGCAACGTTTCGCGGTTCGATTCCCGCACGGAACAACACTTGTTTCGGGTGTGGGTGTCATTGAGTATGTGAACTTGTATGTTGTATGTATGTAAACGCACCCACGACACAGGAGAAAATCCTAAAGTGGGGCAAAGTTTTTTTTTTAAAAATAATAAAAAAACAGGCTACTTTTTACCCCTGGGAAAGCGGTGAGGGTCAAAATGGCGGGTGTATGATAATAAATGATAAAGCATTTACACCAGGAACCAAAAAAATGTACGTAAAAAAAATGTACTATTTAGTATCATCTTGACGTCAATACGGCGGGTATACTGTGATATTTTATAAATTAGGTACCAACTTTTTATATAATAAAAAATATACCAAAAAATGTTCCTCAAGTACCTACCAAAAACATCATTTAAATTTTTCATATTATTCACGATTTAATTTTGAGATTTTGAAACTTTGTAACTACTAGTGTTAAAAATCTTTCATTTTACACAGTCACTATTCCTCGTTTCTAGGTGCCAGAAGGAGTGGTGGTTGTTCCAGGACTGGATGAGGCTGTCCAGTACATCGAGGGTCGAGAGGATATCGAGTCCACCTGGGTCATTGGAGGATCTTCCATCTACCAGGTATTTAAGACGTTTTATTTGTACTATGGAACGCCATTAGTACAAATACATGGGAGATAATAAATATACATGGGAGAGGCGCGAGTCAAAGTCAAAATCATTTACATATTTCAATTAGACCAGAAAGGCACTTTTGAACGTCAACAATAAAATTAAAAGTGAAGCTATTTGCTCATTCCAAGGTGTAGATTCCTATGGAGAAGAACGAGCAAGAAACTCCATAGGTTACTCTTTTTCAATCAGGTTCACAATACAATTCTCTAGTTACATAGTTTTGCTGTTTGGATTGTGCGAAAACAATGTAACACTAAAATCCAGTCAAAGTGGTCAAAAAAGAAAATAACCTTAAGGACAATAATACAGTCTGGAGCTGACCAGTCCCAGTTGACGGCGCCCGTTCACGAACATGACACGTACACCAGCACCGCCCAACTCGACCATGTTGTAGGGAATCTAGCGATCCAAGGCACGTGCTACCGCCAATGAGACCTTTGAGTGAACATGACAACTCCAAGCTGACACAACTGTATTCTATGAGGTTATGTATGTAGTGTTGTTGAAATTGTTTATCAGATCACACTAATCGAAAATTACTGGTGCACATTTGAAGATTTCTTAGTTGATGGTTGGAGTTGGCTAAAGTTGATTTAGTCCGTCACTTAAACAATAGTAGATGTCTAATTTTTATTTTAATGTCCGTCTGGTAGATTATTTTAAATCATTAGACACGTATCTTTTATTTTCTTACAGAAACGAATACTTTCGACGATATATTGATTTGAAATGTCCCGTGACGTCACTTCTATGTATGTACATTTTGTACGTAGAAATGACGTTTTAGCCCCCACTCCTAAACTTTGATTCGTTTTATCTAAGTATTGTTTTATTATACGACAAAATGAAAAAATACGTGTCTAATATTTTTTCATAACCTAACTTACGGACTAATTATATTTTTAATTTCCATACCCTGTCATCATCCCAATTAAAGATACATATACATTCATACAAAAGTCAGTGAAAAATCAGTGTCCAATACATGTTTTGCCCTTAGGAGTGTACAAATTCAATTTATAGTAATTACAATTCATATTAGAGATGTCAAAATTAATTATTATTAATATTATTACGGTCTACATTAAATATTGACCTCATATTTTTTTTCAAATGACTAAAAGTTTCTTAGGTAAAGCGAAGTTTAGTAGTGAGAGCTGGTTACGTCAACCCCTTTTACGACAGATCACCTGATGGTAACCAATCGGCGTCGTCCATGGTTTTTTTTAAACTGTCAAACACCAAGCGATCACCGGTGACCGCAACCTATTGTTCTATAATTGTGTCTACAAAACCGGTACTCGACGAGTTAAGGGGGAAAATCATCGAATGACTTCTCTTCTCCCTGGGTGAGGCGGGAGGGAGTGTCAGACTCTTACTGACTAAAAACCACCCCGTTGCTTCTCCTACACGTCGAGCCGGAGGCCCGATTACCCGTTAGGTTCCGCGACTCCGAATCGGCATCGGCCCTATTGGGCCCCATCTGTGGTGGTCTGATGGCTCTTTGAGGCGCCCGCGAAACGTGACGCGCCGTACGCTCAGGTATCGTCCATGGATACCCTAACACTAGAGGCGTTACAATTGCGTTACCTTCCTTTTGGGGATTAGGAATTTGAGGATTGTTGGGGATTGGGGAGTCTTCGGTAACCTCACTCACACGACGAAATACAACGCTAGCCATATTTCACATCGGTTTTTCTGTGAGGCCGTGGTATCACTGGGTTCAGCCGTCCCAATAGTTTGCTGAATCATGGCTTTTGGCCCACATTCTTGTGTATATTTTGTTTACAAGTGACGATTTTTTCATAAAAATAAAACAAAAATAGGTGTCTAATATGTTTAAATCATTAATTTATTTTATCTAGCAGATGATTCAGATGAACAAGACGGTAGAATTAATCATCGATTCTCATCACTTTCCAGGCAGCCATGACACATCCGAACTGCGGCAAGATTTACCTGACGGAGATACAGAAGTCCTTCAACTGCGACACTTTCTTCCCGAACATCGACAAACAACAGTTTCATTTAGTGAACGAGGAAGAAATACCCGAAGAAAGGCAGTCCGAAGGTGAAATAAGCTACTTTTTCCGAGTTTACAAGCGATTGTAAGTAGTTTTATAATTTAATACACAACTACATCTACTTCACACTACTTTCGCTGCAAGAAGTTCGACGGTATACCGGTAGATGCTGCTGATCTAAACTAGCATTGTACATCGGTACACTACACTCTGTTTAAGAAGTTCGGCGATGTGCCGCCAGATGGCAATACAACACAAACATCGTACATTGGTACACTACAATCTGTCAAGAAGTTCAGCGATGTATCAATAGATGGCGTTGTGCAATTATACTTTGTGTGTCGTTAACTTCAAGAAATTCTGCGATGTATCCATACAGGCGTTGTGTAAAAATTGTATATTGTACATTGGTACACTATACTCTGTTCAAGAAGTTCATTGATATGCCGCTAGATGGCACTACAAAACCTACATCGTACATTGGTACACTTCAAGCAGTTTGGCCATGTGCCAATAGATGGCGATGTAGGAATCCTGCATCGCGTTAATTTCGATTCGAGTCAACTATAACTTTGGAAAATTGTGACCTGTGTATTTGTTTTGGTGCTTTTCGGCGTAGTTGGGTGTTGAAGTAGAGGACTCCTAAGCTTTCAATCTCGCTGTGTTGTTAAAGTGTTTTAGCTTATTTACTGGCTAAGCTAGTATATCAATTAGTTCGTTGTTCATACATTCCTTATGTAAAAAATGTCTCGAATATTTTATATATCCAGTTTTTATAAAACTTCGCTCGCTTTGTTATAGTTACACACTTATGTCTTGTTCGCTTTAGTAATTTAGTCCAGTAGCGAGTATTTAGTATCTGTCTCTCGCTTCGATTTTGAGACAGAAGCGAGACAGAGCTAGCAACACGCTGCTCGACCAAAATACTAGCGTAGTGCGAGCTGGGCATTATTTGAATTACTGCGTTTAGATTTAAGTTGGTGCTAATACATGTTTTGTTGTATTCCACGGAAGGTGGGACCATTTGTCCCATCTTTCATACTTTTTAACGTTCATTATCTCGTTTAAATATGTACAGAGCCCGGCAAATCAACCTACTCGAAACTGTCAAATTTATTCATTGCATTTTCAACTATATGTCTATACAACGGAGGTGATGTAATAGAGAGATTTGACAGGATAGGTTTACCTGCTGGCCGATGTACTGTACTTGAGTTTTAAATAATAATATCGCGATTAAAAGTATGCAATTTTGGTATAAATTGTCCCACCCGTAAAATGGAATGCCCCACCTGTCAAATACAAGAAAAAAAGATAATTGTTAAAATCTTACTTACAAATGTTTTTACGTTAACATAGCCGTCTTTAATTGAATTGCCATTTAATATCAATAAAAAAAAGAAAAAGAAAATACCCAAATATGATTGAAAATAATAATAATGAAAAAAAAATTGAAAATAATAATAATGAAAAAAAAACGAAAAAGATACTCTGAAAAAATGAAAAAAAAAAATTTAAAAACAATCTTAAAAATAAAAAGTTATAAATGGCAATAGTAGATCGGTAATTACATAGTGTTATTATCAAATTAATTATAATTATATTACAAATATTTTTTACTAAAAAAAAATATTTTGTATAATTGTTGGTTGTTATATAAAACTTTAATTAACGTTTTACAATAATACTTATGCCTCAATATTTAATATTTTCTGCAGTATCTACTGAAAGCGTGTTTTTGATTTGAACTCAAGAGATGGCGTTTGTAAGGGCTAAGGTCTATTAAAGCCAACAATCGTATAAAATGACAGAAGAAATCCCACAGTTTGAATACTTCCATTTTTATAGTCAGTAAAATATTATTTTGGGACAAAGATCTTAAGTTACATTCGCGCCTCTCTTGGTGTACATTTATTTACTTCTATAGCGAGCGAAGTTGTAGAGACTAAAACTAGCTTTTTTATTTGTATAGTCAAGTGTACAGGGTAGAGTATACGGCATAGTTGCAGGGTAGAGTACTCACTATAGCAATAGATAGTGATTTTCTTAAACTTCACGCAAATGTGTCGTTCGTTGATATTGTATGGATGGATGACTAAATTTTATGTTAACGCCCCACTTTTTAATTTAATTTGAAACATTGGACACGTATTTTTTCTTTTCTTACGGAATTGAGTAATTTCGCCGGCATATCGGTTTCCATAGAGAGCGGTGACGCAGCGATCTTTCGCTACTTAACTATTAATACGTTCTTACCTGAAACTACAAAAAAATACATGTCTAATATTTTTTATTATCTAAATGATGGACTAAATAGATTTTCGATTTTCATACCTTAGTTTTTCTCTACCCTGTTATGCATATTGTAAGTACTCTACCATGGTACTATGCCGTATACTCTACCCTGTGCACCAGGATGACTTTAGTAATAGAAATCTCTCAATTTAGTCAACTAAGGTTTTTAGTATGCAGGTAAGACAATACAGATTGATTCAGTACACAGACAGTAACTATTAGGTGACTACTGACTCGACTAATAGTTACAAAAAATAATAGCACAAAGCATATAATGTAGTATAACAGAATCTACTGCCTCTGTACTGAAGCAATGTTTATTTTCTTACGTGCCTACTAAATAACTTGTTTATATTATAATTTACGCAAGACATACTAAATTAATTATTATACTTTCGGCTTACTTACGTAACTGTTAGACGAGGAACTGGAATACGAGGCTGTAGCATGGCTTGAAACTAGTCTAGCTCCTCGTCAAACAGTTCCGTGAAAGCCGGAAACCTAATAATGAACTAAATTACTTGATTGATTGTTACAACAATAATGCTTATAGATTCTTTTTACTATTTTCTATTTTCTATTTTTCTTATCGTTGCTCAGTTTGTTTATTCATTTAAAACTACATGTGCTAAAATTTATTAATATTAACTATTACTAAATAAAAATATATACTACTTAAAATATAAATAACAATGAACAAAAATATTTACACCTTAAAAAAGTAAATTAACTATTTTCTATGACACAAAACTGTGAATTTGTGAACCTTCTTCTATATTATAATTATGCAATTTTGTTTAAAAATTCGACGGGTAAATGTCGAATATTACTGAATATTCGTATTTCGTGGAATTGTACTTGTCTCCACTACCTCTTTAAAAAAACAATTGCATAATGTTAAGGTTTTTGTATATTTGTAAGCTTCATGTTAATTGCTGTTTATACCTTAGTTTTATCTAATAGTCTAATTGAATGGGGTGTATACAGGATGAAAAATACGTAAACAGAGAGTTTGTTCAACGAGGTCGAAACTAGACCGCGTTCAACGCTCTGGTTAGTTGGTTCTATGGAGCCGGCCAATCACAGCGCTAAACGCGGTCTCGTATCGATCTCGTTGAACATAAAAGGAACTTGTACTAAGCCCTCATAGAATGAAAAAGTATTAGATATGTATTTTTCTAATAAAAAACAAATAAACTTGTATAAAACGATGTTACTTGTGAAATACTTTACAATTACATCACTAAGTGACGTTGTATGGTATTTTGAATATCATCGGAAAATACATGTCGAATATTTTAACTTAAACCACTAGATGGACATTGAAAGTACTCCGTGATTCCCCTGTTGTAACACCCTGTATATAAATAAGACTTATATGTGCCTATATGTAAATTGCTATTTAAACTGCCTCGATAATATTAAGGTATATTTTAGACATGTTTTACGAACAAATACACGACTTTTATGATTTGAAAGGTAACCTTTATTTCCATAGAAATAAGGGTCATTTTTGTGTTATTTTTTACCAGATTTGGTGTGCTTTAGTTCGTAGATGAGATTGCCTTGGAATGTGCTCGATGTTTCATAGTAGATTCTCCTCTATTACTTTTGGGTCTTGATGGCGGAAAATGAACGCACATTTGGTCACTAAAAATTGTTATAAGCGCTAGTCGATCGAAGGAATAGAGAAGTTTATTTCTGGGATTGAAACGGACATTCAGTAAATTAATTTGGACTTCAAACTTCTTATGCGTACTGCTAAGGAGTAGAATTCTTTGCCAGAATCTATATTTCCTAAAGCGCCTGTCTACCGAGAGAGTAGAAAACTAAATGTATGGAGATGACACTGACAAGTGTCAAAATTTACGTCAATTCCATATAATTTACTTTTCTACTCTACGAGTAGACAAGCGATAAATGGCATTTGGCTACAGCTGCAGGCGAGATAGTGGTTAAACGTCGGCCCATCAAACATATAAATAAGACTTTCCTAATAACTCCTTCGATTACCGTTTAAACTGTCAAACACCAAGCGGTCACCGGTGACCGCAATCTATTGTTCTATAATTGTGTCTACAAAACCGGTACTCGACGAGTTAAAGGGCTGTTCAGGTTAAGTATTATTTTAATACCTATCTCAATTTTTGTTAAGTCAAAAATAACTTGAATCATCTCGTCTCCAATTACATGGAAATCAAAACAAAATTGTGATGTTTCGTCTGTCAAAAACGAATTATTGGAGCTTCAATGCCTCTAGTCAAGATATTTAAAAATAATTGTACTTCCATTCAGTGATAGTATGATTTATTTTGGTAATAGGGTAGATGCTTAATTCTTATTTTAATGTCCGTCTGGTAGATTATTTTAAATCATTAGACACGTATTTTTTATTTTCTTACAGAAACTAATACTTTCGACGATATATTGATTTGAAATGTCGCGTGACGTCACTCCTATGTACATTTTATACGTAGAAATGACGTTTTAGCCCCCACTCCTAAACTTTGATTCGTTTTATCTAAGTATTGTTTTATTATACGACAAAATAAAAAAA